CATTTCTTAATATTTCCAGGGTCGGACCTTTAAACTGGCTGAGAACACCTTTCAGTAAAGCAAAACCATGTAAAATTCAATGGAAACGTTTGCTCTACTCGTATCATTATTGGAAAAATCAACTATTTATTCTTCATCACCTTAAGCGAAATAAGTTGAACACAACTCATATATCCGATTTACTTGTAGTCTCGAAAACCTTCTCCCTTACGAATTAATATAAATGGGTTTTTACCTGATTAAGTTTACTTATGCTTTAGCTCAACCGTTAGTTGCCCACCAATATTTTCCCTTTTAGCTATCCTTTGCTTGTTCATTTTTTTCCTATTACCACAATGCTCATTCCGGTTGGGTATATCCGACCTGTATCTAGCTGCGAAATTCCTACTTTCTCTATATCTATTTCTTAATGACAAATCTATGCTCTACTTTAAACTCTTGATCGAGGTTTCTTATAGTTTGTCATATGATTTCTTAAAACTTTACTAGTATACAGTGATAATTATTTTGGTGTACTTCATGACAAATATGAGGAACTATTGACGCTTACACAATAGGTTTCCCTATGATCAGTCAAATATCTTGATGACAAATTCAAATTAGCTCCATTAATTATATATGTAGCCATCCTTTGAATCTGTAGCTTCTGGTCGATATGAAATATTATATTTCAAACATAAAGCAATTTTTGGTATTTGTCTATAACATTCAAGAGCATAATTAATCTACTTGTATCCCACCATAACAAGCTACAAAATGTTATGGGCTTTGGGATTAAGGGGCAATTGTATTTTAATATTAAACTAATTATTAGCGATGAGAAAGATTAAATTATTGGTATTTATTGATTTACAGCTAAGCTTGATTATCGCAAAAAGCCCCACATAACCTACTAATCTTTAATTTTTTCGATTATCCTTCTTTATATTTATAAAATATTTTATAAATGGAAATTTGCATCTTTTTGTGTACACCAGCTTAAGCATTGTCTGGCCTAGGCGCCTTCTTCAGTTTCTGCGTCTTTTTTCCCTATGCATTACCCTCGTGCTCATTTTCAATTTAGTGAGTCAGCTCCCCCTGGAGGCTTAGATCGAAATTTTCCTACCTTACAAAAAGAAAACGTTGAAGATATTTGTTGTAGCCTATCGACGGACTCTGCTCCATCATCCATAGACAAATGTGCTTTTAAGCAAGCAGGTCCTTTTTACTAGGTTAATCAACCTCCAGGTCCGGTTTAATACACAAAAGTGTATTGACAATGAAATACCGGGAATTGAAAGGCTTAAATTTAAGTCTGCACAAATGCGGTCACTCGACCCTATCTGTTGTACCAAAGAGGAAACGGATGATATAACAAGCATAACCTCTCTCTCAAATTTTCCTAACTTGACTTCTCTTGGCCAACATTACGCGCCTGTAAATGAAGCCCTAACCTGGTTGGAATCCGAGTCAGACTGTGATAACTCGACTAAAGCGCATTGCGATGAGATGACATTTTATAGAACAGACGACCATCTACCCCGAATTCGGAGTGAATTCAGATCGGACGTTTCTACAAACTCTTCTGATAGGGTTGCAACATCATCGTTAGATGAGTCCCAGATTCCGAGAGATCCTAGGATCTTGAGAAGTGGCCCTGATGAAATTTCCCTTTGTTCTTCACTTGATATAACTCTCGAAATGCAGGATTCAGATATGTCTGATGATCCTAACTATTACTCTCAATATGCGCATATTGATGAGCCCCGGTATCATAGTATTCGGCAACTTACCAATGAAATAGATAGCCTGCGGGACATAATAGGCACAAATGAAGTGAGTTCCATCTTTTATTATCCATACAAACCAAATGCTTCTTAATTTCTATTTAATTAAACTTGGAGTTAATCATAATAAATTTATTGAAGCAATCCAGCCTAGTTTCTATTTTATGTTCTCGAGAGTTCCCAAGACAGCACATTTAAAGTCAGTTTATCATAGCCTAGTAAAGTCGCCTATCTGGAACAATTTTCGATAAATGCTAATGCTGTACTTATTCTACTCATCCCATTTTCGCTGCCGTAAATTATCCGTTTGTTTATACCTATTGCATTTTATTATCCTTTTTATGTGTAGTAGTGTTCTGATCTTCTTTTCGTAGCATGATCGTGTCATCAGAGAGCAACTGAACGCACCTTATCCGAAGTCTTTTACTATAGTAAGTATGACCATTCCTAGACATCTCGAGTGCAACGTAGTGAAGCCTAAGCCTTTTTTCAAAAAATATATCTTGCATAAGCTATTTGGGTCTTGCAAAATGGATTACAATTGTATATTCTCCTATGTTGCTAAAAATTCCATGATGGATAAAACCATCCCCATAGATAAATTTATCCTGCTCTAACTTTCGCTTTATTCTACCGTTCAAACAGGGCCCTACCACTAAGGCGCGAATGGCAGCCGAGGCTTTGATATCCCCGGATTCTCTGCATCTCTTGGGGAAATTATCGGAATCAAATGGGGATGGAGTTGGATCTATACCTGCCGAAGCGATTAAACAAGTTCTTAATAACTTAAATATTCCCTCTGTTACAGTGAACTTTGAGGAAAACGAAAAGCTTTACGGGAGCCTTCTTAATATCTCTGTCAACAACTCTGAAATAATTTCCTCGCAACGCAAACGCTCTAGAGTCCAAAAGAAGAAGGGCAGTTTGTGTAAGCCAACGGTCAGTTCATTCTGTTTTATGGTTCACCTCCAAGTGATATTTTAACCTTATTGCTTTTCAGTCTTTCCTGCCAGAACCAGATGCACTAGAATTTTTCGATCCGAACAAGCATGTTTTCCAGTCGGCGAATCTAGACTTTGTTCTCCAACCTACAACTGACGACGCAATGCCTTGCACACAAATATGCCCACCAGAAATGCTGTATTTATTTTATGATCGTTTTTTAAATGGAAATGATACATGATGCATCCAAATTTAATTTTCGTTTATAAATATCTACGTACTTTCCATCAGTCCTATTAAAACCTATTTTAGATATTATTCTAATCAATGACTCAATATTTTGTGATCACATAGCGAAAGGATTCTGTTTATTCGTATTTGTGTCTTATTTTCTAACCACTGCTGTGTGCCATACTATTTGCGGCTCGGTTACTAGTAATCTTTTTGACAAGATCGGATGTGCTATTCCCCACCGCCCAGGCGCGTAATGTGCGTCGATAACCTCATACACAAGAGAATCCTTAATGCCGCTACTTGTTTTCCGAACTTGCATTGGGCTAGGATAGCATAGGCTAGTGACTAGTTAACACGACCGAACGCAGTGCAAGCGGTGTTGTGAGATTGTACTTCTAGCTG